GAACTTGCCTTGAATGTATTTCCAGGTGAAATTCTAGGTTTGCTTGGTTTGGAAGATGATTATAGGCTTTCCTTGGTCCGTTTGAGCTTTCTATTGCCACCCTATATTTGTTATCCCTAGTAAACCCCTTTGAGCCTTTAGCCTTTCTCTGTTGGTAACCATGCTAAAAGATTTTACCCGTTTTGTTCATAATCCTCTCTTGGCACCCGAACCTTCCTTAACACTCTTATGTAATAAGTGACTTAAGGCATAAGTTTGGGGGAAAAGTTGAGGAATCTAAAAGAGGTATCAAGGCACTGAAAAGAAAGAAAAAGAAATGATCTCCATGAAACGAGAAGGGAGGAAAAGAAATAACAAAAGGAAAAATGCCGAAAATAAAATAANTGATCTCCATGAAAAGAAAAGGCAAGAAAAGAAAGAACAAACAAATATTCCAAAAAAATAAAATAAAAAGGGAGATTGATGAAATTAAAAAGAGGCAACTATTTCTAGTATGAGCATCAAGGGAGAAAAAGAATAAAATGAACAATAAAGAGTGATTGCAAGTCTCTATAGCCCCCAAGAAAAAGAAATGCCTCTAAGGGTTTGGTGAATGTGAGCCAAGAAATGAAAAGTGGAGTGCTTAAGGAAGGGTGTAACCACTTGTCCCATATGGTATCCTACCCCAATCCAAAAGTCTTCATTATAATCCGAAAGAAGTCCTACTTGATTTTGAACCGAGTGAGCTTATATTAGTGGATATCTACATGAGGGGCAAGCCTATGGTACTTGGAGCTTTACCTGTGGCATTCCTTTGTGAGAAAAGAGTGAATCCTTTATTGCTCTAGAAATTTAGTGTTAATTCTTGAAGTAGCATGGAAAATGGAAGGTAGAGGAGGAAGAGTTTGGAGTTCACCATGATTTACATGATAAAACAAGAGTCCTTGATGAGTGAAGTCAATTCTTGAAGCTCTAATGTCACACAAGAGTTATGTGCACGTAACATATGTTTTGTCAGCTTGTTGAAAATGCATGAGTATTGTGGGTAGTTATTGGTCCTAACTGAGTATGAATAAATTACAATTGACTCTTTGAAATGACCTTTCACTTAGGGGAGGTGGGAACTAATCTATTTACTTGAGTACAAGCAAAGACTTAATTTTGGGAGAGTTGATAAGTGTGGATTTTAACCACTTATTAGTACCTTCTTGCTTTGGTTTAAGTCCGAAAGTAGTGATATTTGTTTCCAAATCTAATGAAATTATGTGAATTGCAGGCATGTTGGAGGATTGGAGCTCAATGAAGAAATCTAACTCAAAAAGGATTATTCCAGCTCAACAAGGCAAAAAGGAGAAATGCAAGCAGAAGTGCGGTCTGCAGAAGTAATTCTGCGACCGCAAATGATCATGCGGTCTATAGAAATATAAGTGCAGCTACAGATGAAGCCTTGAAGCCTCTGAGAAGTTTTGTAGAAGTGCGGTCCGCACACCGAATTGTGCGGCCTCATAAGTTGGTCGCACTGACAAAGCAGAATAAGTTCAGAGAAGGTACAGAAGACCAAGCGTGAAGCCTCTTGAGAATGCGGTCCGCAACCAAATTGTGCGGCCGTAGAAGCTGAAGTGCAACCGCAGAGATTAACATGCGGCCGCAAAACTCCTCCTAATGCAAGAGCAGAAGCTTAAGTGCGGTTCGCACATGAAATTGTGCGGCCGCATAACCTCCCGAAGAGTATTTTTGTGAGGAATTTCTAGACACTATAAATAGATGGGAAACACTTTTTAGGGCAACTTTGGTATTGTAGCAATATCTAACGGTTATATTTAGCTATTTTGGGATATTTGGAGCAATAATTAGAGAAGACTTACTAGTTTTACACTTCAATTCTAATTTTATGTATTCAATTACTTCTTCTCTTTATTTTTATACGTCAATTATCAGGAGTAGCTAGATTTTATTTAGGGTTGTAACCTAATCCTAGTGTGTAAAACTTATGGGTTGTTAATACTAATACTTGTTTATGATTGGTTATTTATTATTTAGCCTTGTTTATGCATCATATCTAAAATTAATGGTTGCAAACATTGATTCATGCCTATTTGACTTAGTTATTACTTGAGAAAGAGGAACCTAGTCTAGAAAAACTTAGCTAACAAGAAACTGAGCTAGTTAAGGTTTTGACTAGTTTGATTAAAGGATTTGAACTAGAGATAGAGATAATCCAACTTGGACTCATATCAATTTCTTAGAGTTCTACCCATTTGGACTTGAGAAAGCCAATTTGTGCATAACCACTCTATGACCGAGAGGTATTGAGTGGGTACTTGAGAATTGAGAGTCATAATGCACTCCGTTCTACCAAATAAGCATTAACTTAATATACCCATTAGGTTTACACCTTGGTGAAGGTTACATCCCTAGGATTTTTCTCAATAGATAAAAACACCAAAAATAATTTATTCTCTAGTTGCTTTTACTTAGTCTAATTTCTTAGTTGTTAAATTAGATAACAATCACCCTCTTATTTGGAAGTATAATTAAACTATTTCACATTCTCTTTTCAAATATTTACCTTAATACCGATTGTAAACTCCGTGAGGAATTCGACCCCAACTCAAGTTGGGTATTATAATTGCAACGACCGTTTTCCACTTATTATTGAGTGTGGATTGGACGTGATCAACACCTACCTTTAAAACTTCGTATTGATTCTTCACATATTTTAGGAGTGACGTTGTTCAATAATTTTCTAATTATATACTCTTTTCCAAGAAATACACAATTAATAGGCACAACTAATTGATGGACATTCAATCAAGTAGAATATGCATGTAATTGAACACATAGAGAAATCAAAGTCAAAATTATATTCAAATATAACGGGAGTTCATCCTTCAAAAGGTTCAATCAAACTCTAGATAGAAACTTAGCTATTTATATTCATGTTAACAATCATATTCATAATTGAAAGCATTAATCCACAAAATATAAAGAATTGAAAGATGAATTTGTGTGATACGTTCCTTGCAAATATTTCAACCGTATTTCCCTCTTCAAATCTTGCCTAACTCTTAAAATATTAAATTCGGAGTTATTTATATGCTAGGTCACAATTAGGGCCGAAGTAACTAAGTCTAAGCTGATTAGGAGCCAGAACCACTCGGACCCTGGCCTTGGTGCGTCACGTTCATCTTTCCTCACCCTGGAGCTCGCCTTGCGCCGTGGGGTGCGCCAAGTTTGGCGCTATAGGTCTCGCGATGCACCCTCTGAGGTGCCAACTAGAGCCCGCCTAGCGCCTTCTGGGGCGTGGTGCTTTCATGGCCTTGCATCGTGGTTCCTCTCATGCTCTACTTTGTTATCTTTGATGCCTTTTTGTTCAATTTTCTTTTCTCAGCTTTTCCAAATGAGCCTACACACAAAAATAACTCAATTAAGCGCAAAAATAGCACGAATCTTTAACATCTACGAGTAAAGCATATAGGTAAATGATGATATTAAAAGTAACATATTGGCCTCGTATTAATCGTCAAAATATTAGCTTTGCAATGTATATCTGTAGTTAAATAAAAAACCCGATAAAATACTGGAAAAATCGAAAACGAACAAATAAAAACGAACTTAATTGGTTTGATTTGGTTTCAAGATTCGATAAACTAACATAATTGGTTTTATTTCTTCATAGGTGAAAACTGACCCAAATCAAACCACAACACCCCCTAAAACAGACTAAAAAGAAAAGTAAGACATAAATTGAAACGGAGAAAGTATAATTTTTGATGGAATGACAAAAATGTCCCCACATTTGATGTTTTAGCAATAAGAGTTAAGGATATTTTGGAAAACTCAAAAAAGTAGTACAACGCTAACCTATTTTATGTGGACTAATATATTTTAAATTTAAAATGTAATTATTTATTAGTTTAAATTAGGTATAATTTAAAGGGAAAAGGGTCAATTTGTCCCTCTACTATGCAAAAAGGATTGACTTTACCCTCCGTGATATTATTTGCTAAACAAAATCCCTGTCGATACCTCAATGGTTTAAATATACCCTTCATCCATTAGGGTAGTCCAAGTTGGACACTAAACACCATGTGGCGCTGAAATTTTGGTAAAATGAACACGAGGTGGCATGTCACGTCACCATGCTCATCCCATTTTACTCCTTCCTCCTCACTTTTCTTTCATCACTAGAAGCTGCTCCCCTCCACAACAACTACTACCATCAATAACCCATGACCACCATCATTTTCACCCGTCACTCTCCAACTTCATTCATCCATAGCAACGGTTTCAAAGAGTAAATTGAACGGAGAAGGTATTGTTTGCTTTTAGCCTAATTTTTTGATGTGAACATCATCCCTATACAAGAGCATGTCTTAAAGTTTCTTGAAGCTAAGAGTCCTCTTAGGTCTCCTTCAATGCTATTTCAAGACTATGTACCGTTAGGTTTCGCTGTATGATGTAATTTCGTTCTCTGTATCCTTTTTAATTCCATCTCTTTTCCTCTTTCATGACCATGAGGAACTTGATCATTTTTTTTCTACTTTTGAAGAATACTTTTTGGGTTCACCTTCATGAGTCTATTATTTCAACTTTAGCCAATTAATTAAAACGATCTAGTACTAACCAATTTTTTTTAGTGCGAACCAACATGAACTTTTCTATCCTATAAAGCATATGAACTGTGCAATTAATTTCGAATTTGGTATTCTTGAAAACAAAATTAATTTCACTTAAAAAGAAGTTGAAGGGTGAAGAATTTCAGCAGTGGATCCATATGCCAAAGATGGTACTGAGCCGCGAAATATTAGATGTATATCTTAAGGTTCCAGCGGTGGAAAAGCGGAGAGGACGGGGTAAAATGGGTTGGAGCGGTGACTTGGCATACCATATGTGTCCATCTCACACGATAGGGGTATTTTTGTGCGGATAGTATAACGAAGGATAAAGTTGATCATTTTCGGATAATAGATAGCCAAATTTGGACCTTTTCCCTAATTTAAATGCCCTACACGGCCTACTAACACTAATGAATCCTCAGAACATCACTCTTTCATATAACCAGATTTCTTCATTCTTCCACTTCAGAATTCAGCAATCAAATTTAAGCACTCAACATTCATTTCAAGAAATCTAGCCAAAACGAAGAAACCAAAAGATTTTAAAAGCCTTGTCATCTTTCACTTCAATGATAATTTGGCTCTGACATAGCCTTGCGAAATCTGGAAATGATCGGTCAAACCAAAATGAGCCATAAGGAGCCAGACATGAGTGAGAAACTCACCCCCTCGCCTGAGCTGCTCAGCATGGTCTTTCCAATCGCAATTAGCTGCAGAAAAAGATAACAAGTCCACCCAAACATGAAAGATTTTCTCCCATTTCTCTCCATTCTCGGCGCCTGGATTTTCATCTTCTTCAGATTGCAAGGATTTAGCAAGCCTACAAGCATCGAACAATACTGACTTACTTCTATCCCCTTTCACTTCTGAGGGCGCAATCTCAGTGTTGATTTGTAGTAACTTGTCACAAGCTAGTTCCTTAGTGCCCAAAAAGCATTTTCGGTCTTTGAAAAACTCCATGGCTTCAGCCCGAGTGTCTTGAAATCGGATTGTCCCAAGTCCACTGGGAAGCATGAAGGGGCACATGATAAGTAGATATAACATGTAATCGGACAGTAACCTGCTGATTTCACGTTTAAATCTCAGATTTTCTACTGAGCTGGTTTGATCGGTGATGATGTAGTTACGGAGCCACTCCGTTGCCTCAAGCATAGACATCTCATTTGGATTTGGATGGTCCTTCACATAGCAGAGATCAGTAGCAATGTGCCATGTAAGAATGCTTTGAGCAAAATCTACCCCATTTGTGTTCTCAAAGCATTTTGTATCCTTAAGCACAGTTTGATCACACCTCAAAGTACAGATTTGTACATTGGCCTCCACATCTGAACTAATTCTTGCTTTGAGCTGATTAAACACCAATTGCTTTAACCCCTTTGGGATATCTACTCTGTACCGATGTCGAGTCCTCTCCAGAAGTTCATAAATTCTAAAGAACTGCTGGACCTTTTCAAAGGTCGTTAGCTTATCTTTGAGGCACACAGTCAACAAATTGTACTGTCCCATGGTTCCAGACCATCTTCGTATTGCAGGTAATGCACCTAGGAACCGAAAGAATGACACAGCTTTACAAGTGGCAAATGCGACACAATCCTTAATTCCAACGAATGAAAGCATTGTCCCATTTCCACTTAACCAAATCATCAAGCCGTCTGATGAGAGTAAAATCAGGATAGCATACATCTCTAGGATGATGGCCCCAACAAGTAAGATATAAGTGATCACCACATCAGTCGTTGAGTAATGGTCTTTACTGATGAATGGAAAAAAGATGAACACCACAAGTATGAGAGACACACCAACAAGACGCAAAACTATGCCAAGGGGTGAAAGGAGTTGAAATGTCTTGGTATAGAAGATGTCATATATTAGTCCAAGTTCAACCTCAACCAACCTATAAGCCCTGTCCCAAACTTGTTTCTGGAAAAAGGAACGGCTGCTTTTCCTATCCTGGAAGCTAAGAATGAGGTCTGCGAAAAGCTTCTTAAAAGTTCCAAAGAAGTAAAAAGCATCCCGCAAAGTGGCTGCAGCGTCGAGGTTGCTTTCAGGACTATTAGGATGGTGCACAACTTGATATTCATCAATGGCTTTCCCTAACGAGACTCTGTATCCCTCAGCCTTCTTTGATATGTAATCATCCATGAACTTTGCATAGTTAGGACCGGGATCCGGATCAGATACCATGGATTTTCGGAAACCATCTCTGCTTGCGCTGGAAAGAGCCCAAGTCCTCTCTCCNATTATAGGATAGTACACAACTTGATATTCATCAATGGCTTTCCCTAACGAGACTCTGTATCCCTCAGCCTTCTTTGATATGTAATCATCCATGAACTTTGCATAATTAGGACCCGGATCCGGATCAGATACCATGGATTTTCGGAAACCATCTCTGCTTGCGCTAGAAAGAGCCCAAGTCCTCTCACCATACTTGATTAACCCCGCAGCGAAAATTACAGCGCCAAGATAATTAACTGGACTGCCCTCCCAGGACCTAAAAAAGACGTAACCAGCAATTCCAACTTGGACAAATAAGCCTAGCAAGTGCCTCAACCACAAATCATTATCTGCCAATGCATACGCCGTTATGGCGTCGGGACCGCCTAGGTGAACAAGAAGGAATGGCGCCCAGAATGCCCTTAATACGTAATTTGGATCTAGAGCAGGCTTACTGCTGCGCTTGCATTTTTCATCGTCACTTTGACCATGGGATAGAATACCAAGAGCAACAGTTGCAACCCAATCTGCTGACAAGTAGAATAGCCAGAGCATGAATCTGAGCCAATTCTTGGATATGTATTTCCTGCGATTCCCTGTAACGATAAGGAAAATCTGTAGCAGGAGGCTAATCAGAACCAGTATCCGGAGCTGCCACTCATTCAAAAACTTAATCCACTCTGGTTGAATAAGTGCAGACATGGTTTTGAGAAGCCGTGATTTGAAGAGAAGAAACAGGAATAATCCAATTTAACAGATGAGAATTTTATGCAAGCACGCGTCTTTTTTACATTTAAAATAAATGTAGTTGGCCTTTCTTGATCAACGTACAACCTTTTCTTGCATTATAATTATTACTCTCCGTACACAACGAGTGACTTTTTTGTCCGTGTTTCAAAATAAGGGTTGTTTTAAGATTTCGAAAATGAATTAATTTTTTTTTTTCTACCTTGCTCTTGGATTATGTGTCAGGAATATTTATGTAAAAAGATAATAAAAGTTAATATAATCAATCTTATTGATAATTAATATTAAAGATGAATTTTTGCATAAAAATATAGAAAAAATCAATTCGATCGGACGGGTACTATCTAATAAGTGAGAGTTAGCGGAGAGCTATCCGTCAACATGTTCGTTTGCTTGTTGACTAGCGTAGTTTTTGTAATCTAAATTGAATTCGTTATTTTAATTGGTCCACATAAAATGTTACTGTAGCAGCTTTGATTATCTTTCGCTGTACAGACATTTTAACCCTGAACAGTGGACCCCAGCTGCACTTCTCATTCATCACATTCACACATCATTATGTATTTGCTTTTACGGTGGACAAGTGGTTGTACCTGGGGGTGTTCAAAACCGGATGAAATCGAAATCGAAGCTTAATGGCTTATTGGTATCGGGTTAACGGTTTAACGGACGGGGAATTGATTGAATTTTTTTTATTAACGGCTTATCGGTTTGGGGGCGGATTATTCAATTTTCTTAACGGATAATCCGTTAACCCGTTAAGAATATATATATATAAAATTTATTTTTATCCATATATATATTAAATATCAAAAACTCTTCCACTTCTTCCAGCTATTAGCTTAGCTTATTCTCCCACCCTACTATAAGATTGTTTAAGCTGCTGTCTATGGTTCACCTCTGCTTTTATTTTTTAAAACTAATGCCTGCTGTCTATGTTTAATAGAAGAACAACAGTGTTGTTGCCACAACTTTTATCCCACAATATTGACGATAGTACTGTCTTGAATTATGTTCTGGGGAAATAGCGCATCTGCGTTTCCTGTAAATTGTTTACTACTTATAATCCATCCCTATTTCTATACATAACTGCCTTTTGCTCGGTGTTGTTTGTATGGTTAATGATATAGCGTGAAATGCCTGGTTGAGAGTTTAAGTTAGAAATTTGAAGTTGTTGTTTGAACTTTGAAGCTGCATAAATTCAAGCTCTGTTAGGCGTTAGCTGCAGGCCAAACATTTCTGTGTATTCTGCTCACTTATGGATTAATCATTTTGAAATATGTATCATGGACTCACTTTGAATATAGACTGGAATTTCCTATTCTGAATTTGTATGCTAGGTGTTAACAGACATATGTATGTCTGGACTCATGTAATGTAGTCTGCTTTGAAATTTAATGGTAGGCGTTAACATACATGTATGTCTGGACTCATATGTAGTCTGCTTTGGGATGTAATCTAGCCTACAATGTGTTCTACTTTTTTCACTTTACAACACATGACACATTACATCATTCTTATGTAGGCGTTAGCAGATATGTTTGTCGGGACTCAATGTGTAATTTCCTATTATGAATTTGTATGCTAGGCGGTCAACAAACAATTAATGCACGCAATATAGATTTAATTAGGCCGATAAATCGCCCGATAAGAGCTAAACCGATACCAATCCGCCCGATATCTTATCGGGTGGCTAGCAGATTAATACATTTAAAAGCCGATAACCGTTAAGCCAAACTGTTAAGAGTAATTAATTGCCCAATCCGTCCGATAAGCAGCCCTAGTTGTACCGATAGAATTATCTTCTCTCTTGCCTATTATCTACTCTCTCTATTTCTAACTAATATTTTATTGCTACTTTAATAATCAAAACAAATTAGCTAAAGTTATTAAACATTAATAAATCACAATCCCTTTTTGTCTTTCTCTGATTGCATTATCAAACTTGCTTATTTATAACTAGCTTATCAGACATCTCAAATTATTTAGTATTTATTATTTTAAAAAATAATGTTGAATCATAAATTTGTTAAAATAAATTATAACAAATTTGAAAACTAAACCTTAGATGGAAAATTTCAAGAGAAACATACAAATTACGTGAGCAGAAAAACTAAACTTTAGATGGAAAATTTCAGGGGAAATATAGAAATTATGTAAGCAATTAACATTTAAAACCAAACTCTAAATAAATGCCGTACCAGGTAGATTTATTCCACTGCTAGGCGTTGGATTAAAGAAAGTGTAATCTTAGGGGTCATTTGATTCACAAACAAGTTATATTGGGATTATACTACATGAGCCTCATTTGTATTTTTTCAGTTTAATTAGTGAGCTAACACTTTCTTGTTGGAGTACTATTTTCCAATTCTAATGCTAAGATTCGTAATATCAAAATAGACAAAGTAAATTCACACGTAACAACTACGGAGTTCTTTATCTGCTTTGAACATTGAAAATAAATAAATTAAAGATGCTTTGTCATGTTACTCATTTTCTTCGGCCCCCAATTGTTTAAGGATAAATTATTAAAGTCAATAACAAAATGCACACATCTTCACTTTTCATCGAAAATAATAAATTTCAAAGTGAAAATTTAAAGGATCACATAATTAAATAATTCTTATATTAAAGCTATTAGATAACTTTTTAAATTATATATGTCAAAACTTTAACGGGTACTTTTTGAATGGAGACAACATTACTAGAGAACCTAGGCACTATTGTTTTAAATAACCACATATAGGTTAAAATTTACTTATGCTATTAGTAGGACTAATCATGCGAGCCTTCACAAGTATTTTCTTTTTTACTATTCTAATTCTAATCTAACTATTAATAAGAGGGAATAAGCACACACAGGAGGTCAACATGCTTGCTTGACACCTCAAGGGCGTTTTGGTAAATTCAATTAAAATAAATCAATGTGATTGGCCGAAAAGATATCTTACCGTAGCTGCCATTAGGGTGTCAATGGATATTCGAAAACCGACTAAACCGACCGAACCGAACCGATTTTTAGGTTTCTCTTTAAGAAACCGTAGGTTTTTATATAAATCTATAACCACACCGATAATTATGGTAAGTTTTTTATTTTATAAAAATAAACTGAAAAAAACCGAACCGTACCGAATAAATTTTACATGTGGAAAATATATTTATCTAGTAAGTTTAAAAATAACAATGCATTAAATTTTTCTTTGGGCCTTGGAATTATGAAAACTATTACAAACCAACAAGTAATTAAACTCAAAATACTAATTCTTAAAACCTATTATGCTACGTCTACTTAAACTAAGTTATTTCAAGTATCTTTATTAGCAAGATACAAAGTATTCGAGCGATTATGAGTAGCAAACTAATATGTTTCTTTTCATATACTTTAGATTTATCTTTTTGAATATTTAATCTTCTATAGACTTTATTGTTGAGTCCCAACTTGGTTAATATCTTTTCACTCGCATGATTTATACTTTCTTTGCATTTGCTTGGTTTCTTTTACGTTGTTGTAGAATAGTTTATAAATATATATACTCTAGCCATCTTTCATTTCTTTTAATTCATCACCCTTTAAACAGTAAAAATGTCTAAAGAGTTTTGCTAAATCCTATAAAAGAACGTATGTTATTGCATTCTACTTCTACTTGTGAATTTTACATGACATTTAAAAAAATACCGAAAATTAACCGAACCGTACCGATACCGAAGAGAAACCGACATGATTTGGACGGTTTCGAAAAGTCTAATTTTGGTTATACATAATAGAATAACTGAAAAATTTGTGTGATATAAATTTTATAAAATAACCGGCTGGACCGAACCATTGACACCCATAGCTGCCATATAAATCTTTGAGTGACTTGACTAAATTGCCCCTTTGTTATCTCATCATACATGACCATAGTTTTCAAAAGCTTTTATGTAGATGTGGGTCCCATCTGAGTTTTGTTTTACACGTTGCTATCATTTTGCATATAACTATTTGTATTGTACAACTCATTGAAGAAATGGGGCCCATTTAAAGTTTTTATTCATATGTGACTAATGCTGCTTTAATTACTACTAGGTGTAGTCTTAGTGTCTTACACTGTTATCTATAGAACAAATGACAAAAACGGTCCATTACCTTTGGGACTAGGTTCAAGATAGTCCTTTAAATATACACCTATCAATTTTAGTCTTGGTTGATAATTTTAGTCTCCATACATTTAAAAACTAACACCGTTAGTTTATTGCCCCCCCTCCCCCCCCCCAAAAGAAAAGCATATTCATAACCATACCCATTACTCATATTCTAAAAGAATTATTTTTGTAAAAACTGAAAAAAAAACTGAATTTTTTTTACTAAAAACTGGAAAAAAAATATTGTTTTTCCAGTTTTTACAAAAAAATTATTTTAAAGAAAAATAAAAAAAATAAAAAAAAATTTCTTAAGCAATATTTTTGTAAAATCTGAAATAATTTTCTAAAGCAATTTTTTTGTAAAAACTGAAAAAAAAAACTGAAATTATTTTTACTAAAAACTAAAAAAAAATGAAAATATTTTTTTTTCTAGTTTTTACAAAACTAATTGCTATAAAAAAACTGAAAAAACTGAAAAATATTTTCTAAAGCAATGTTTATGTAAAAACTGAAAAACAAAAACTAAAAAAGAATTTTCTAAAATAATTTTTTTGTAAAAACTAAAGAAAAAGATTCAACAAAATATTGTTTTTGTAGTCCACTGCTTTAGAAAAATCTTTTTTTTTTTCCAGTTTTTTTAAAGTAATATTTTTGTAAAAATCGAAAAAAAAATATTTTTATTTTTCTTTCAGTTTTTAGTAAAAACAAAATCAGTTTCTTCTAGTCTTTACAAAAAAATATTGTTTTTATGGTATGAGTAATGGGTATGGTTTTGAATATGGTTTTTATTTTTGGTAGGGGAGGGGGGAGGGGGAATAAACTGACGGTGTTAAGTTTTAAATGGATGGAGACTAAAATTGTCAACTTTTTGAATACTTAAAAGGACTAA